GTTCAAAAAAAAAAAAAGCAATAAAAAGAAAGACATGCATGACCACTGAGGAAATTGGTTCAGCAGTTTATTTGGAGTTTTATTAGAATGTGTTTACAGTCCGGCCATATAATCCCCCCTTAGGAAATGAAAGTCTAAAAAAAGAACATTAGCAAACGTTATAAAATAAGTCTTACATATAGGCTACCAAAGTACTCTGTGTGGTCATTGGTTGGGGAGGGGGGTACAGTATGTTTGCTTTATCACTGTACTACCATTTCTGGGCAGCACAGCAAACAAATGGGCAGGGCACACCAAGCAATTCATCTGAGTTCTGCGGTTGGTTCAAAATGGGTACAAATGAAGGGAGGACTTCACTTATAGCATCAATCTTTAGATAATTATGGGCTGGTAACAAACATCTGTAACAGTCTGCGTCTCCTAATGCTGCCGTCAAAGAATCAACGTAACAGTGCTTTAACATTTAAATAATACAAACCCACTCAGTGTTATGAAAAATGGTGTGAAGTCACTTTGTAGCTTTTCTTCCTAATGGCTTATCTAGAGAGCAAAGTATCTGTAAAACCTGAGTATTTCAAAAAAGATAATTTCATAGAAAAATAACATCTCACAGTATCCATTCAGCTTGGGTTTTTTTTTTTTTGTTCCATAACAGCATTTTTAAAAAAGAGAGCAAAACAAAAGGATGTGCTATTTTGCCATCTTAGACGCGACACTGAGCTCAAATTCTGCAGAGGCTTCTTCCTTCACTTATTATTATTATTATTATTGTGGATTTACAGTAAGGGGCCTTTTTTGGCATGACTGAAATTACTAAACGGCCCGCCCACCTCTCTAGTGTTTGAGACCTCAGAGCAAAAGGTTTTCACAGAAAGAAAAATCAGTGGTTAGGATAAAGTGGTTTATGTTACCAAGGCAACTGTACGTGGCACGATGGGCACAGCACTCTCTAGGAACTAGATAGTGGTTTTGTTCTGACCCCACATACACAATATTAACAGTACAAGAAATATGCACACTGGATGCATATTTTTGGCATCTTTTGCTGACTTCTGAAGTAGGGTACAACATAGAGTATCCTTATCCGCACTCAAGCAGCATATTACAAAACATTCATGTATGAATTAGGGCAGGTACAATATAGTTCTGTTTACATTTTGAGCCTTCACAAAAGCTATATACCAATTTTCACGTTAAATTCTCATCACACAATATTAAATGATATGATTGGGTAGCTGTTGTATGTAATATATAGATATACTGCATATGTTATATATATATATATATATAGACTTATGATGTATTACAATATGGTAATACAAATAAGGGCTTTGCTCTAGTTAGTATATTATTTACAATAGGTTCTCTTTTTTATTTCTCTACAAATATTTACAGAATATAGATTTCACACCTGCTGTCAAAGGGGATTTACATTATCACAATCAAATATTCAGTTATACGGAACAACATTACAAGTCGAGGCAAGTGTCCACATAAGACAAATATTGTACAAACATGTTACACGGTTTCCTCTCAGACCAGATCGGCGTGGTGTAGTGGAAATGGATGGCTGATAGTCTTGTACAGTTTGCATCATTATTGCTCAGTATCTTCATGAGGTATAATAGAGTGTCTATGCAGTTTTTGTACAGTAGGGGGTTCTTCAGAAAGGACACTGCTAAAGTTATCTTGAAGACAGAGATGCAGAGAGGTGACTGAGACGTAGGAAGTAGAATAAACAAAGGTTTCTGAAATACCTTATTGTCTTGGAAACATCTACAACAAATGCTCCAATGTAAAGAAGAGGAGTGAAACATAGTGAGGGTCACAGTGCCTCAGAAAGAAAGACAATGTCGCTGCTGATTCACCAACCAAACAGACATAACTTTACCATGTTGGTGTCATTTACAAGTTAGAATTTGATATTGACATTTAACATCAGCCAGAGGTCAGCTGTAAAAAGGCACAAAGAATATGACTTCATACTACTGTAGATATCAAAGTGACTGAGAGAAAATGTTGGTAGTGTGGGTAGCTGCAGAAAACAAGTCGAGGTCTAACAGTGTGAAACTGACAGAATCTGATACGGTGTTGTTCAGCTGCTGCATGCTCTACTTCCTGTTAAAAATCAAGAGACAGCGCTTCTTCCTCCTCCCTGCCCCGTCCGCCTCCTGAGGCGCTCGTTCCCCTCTACGACCTGAGCCACCCTCTGCTGGCTGGGTGCGAGCCAGGGGCCTGGCAGCATCTTGGCCCTGCGTCCGCCTGCTTCTGTGGTGGCCAGAGAAAGGCCTGAGATGCTGGCAGCAGACACGCTGCCGTCAGATTGGCTGCCTCCAGACTCTGACTCATCGTCCCCCAGCTGCTCTATGGACAGTGTGGAGGTGAGGAAGGAGAAGGGCTTTCTCTGTGACACCGGATCTATCACAGCAACACTTGGGAAACGCCTCTCGGCACGCTCGCTCTGTGCATTGTCGTCTTTCTGATCCTCATTCAGCTCTGTCTCACTATTTTCACGCCTGTCATTGCCCCATGACCCCTCGTGCTCCTTCTCTTTTGCCACCTCCCCGTTTCCATCATTCTCCACCTCCCAGTTTTGTTTGGGACTGGGAAGCTTTTGGTGAGGACTTGGAATGGGAAGGAAAACATCGTCTTCACCCTCTTCATTCTCTTCAATCTCTAAACTGACTCTCTCCTCTAACTCCTCAGTCTTTTCTTCCACCTTTTCCTCAACAGCAGGTACCTCCTGCTCTACCTGTTGCTCAGGCTCTTCAGCCTCTGGCTTCCTCACCCCCTCCTCACTTCTACTTTTCCTCCCTCTGCTTTTGCTCCTTCCCCTCTCCCTCTTCCTTCCCCTCACTGTCCCTCTTTCCGTCTCACTATCATCATGATTGCCGAGGGCATCTCTCTTTAAACTCTGAGTGCCCTTTTTTCTCCTCCTCCTCTTTTTGTCCCTGGCTTCCCGAGACCCCTCTCCGCGCTCAGAGATGGGGCTTTGTAAACCAGAGCGCCCTCCTCCCTCTGAGACCCCTCTCCTCCTTCTTCTTCCCATCTGTTCCCCTCTCTCGCGTCCATTTGAAGACCTGCTTCTCCTCTTCTGCTTGGAGCTGTGCCCCTTCTGCCCGGTGGAGTCTACTGCAGCCAAACCCTGCTCCTTGGGGTGACGCAGGAGGGAGGGGGAGGTGATTCTGTGCTCACGGCCTGGGTATATATTATATAGAGAGAGTAGGGGGTGGAGAGAGGAGGAAAAAACAGAGTGAATAGGCAGGTAAAAGAGAGGAAAAGCTTTATGTAATCTGTTATTAAAGAGCTTTTTTGCCCCCTTTTTTTTTTAGGTGCAATAGGTCATATTGTGTAACAACAGCTGCTTTTTTATTTTAGTGCAACCTTCAGATGAACCTTTATTAGAAATACCCATCTGATTATCAGTATGCTCCATAATAGCGTAATCATGCCATTCTTTTTAAATAATTCAGTGCGACTACAAATTGTGAAGCTGGCAAAGTCTGTTCAGAGGTTGGTCTGAGGGGAACTAAATTGGGCAAGAAATCAGTATAATATAGTACATTTCTACATCATTACTTCAGTTGATGATCAAGATTATCTTAATAATGAGGAGGTCCAACACTACAAGTGAAGACAGCAGCGGTGACTGAGTAGAGGAATGTAGAGAGACAGAAAATGGGAGAACTAACAGGAACCATTACCAACCGCGTATTCTCTGTTCGTCCAATGACATAGAAGCAAGGCTCGCCTAGCTTGGAGTTGGTCATACATAGAGACAAACTGGAGAGCTCCACTGAGAGAAAGAGAAAAAAAAGGGAAAAGACAAGG